AGGGGTGAGATACACCAAGGTGCCTTGCCGAACAATAGGCACAGTTTGATTTGACGGTGTCATCAATGCCATGAAATCCTTTGCCATGATTGTCCAAAAATCCTGAAGCAAGAATCTAGACACACTGACCAATGGGAAAGGAATGTGCTCACACACATAGAACTGCACGCACAATGAGTGGCCATTGCAGTCAAGTTCAACAATACGCTTCCCCAAGATGGACAATGTCTTGCCTGAGATGCTTCTAAGCGCCGGGCAATCACTGCCTACTGGGTGCAATGGATAGTCCGATGCGAACCAAGGTGGACAGCAATTTGCCGATGCACCAGAGTCGAATAAAATCCAACTCCTGTCGACAATGCCTGACTGTATGTGGAAATCAGACAAGCGGTCAATCCCAATGCCATTTGGGTTCGGCACTAGTTCGCTCTGACCTTCAATGCTTGACTCACTGCTACTGTCATCATGTGGGGTGTGACTGCCAATCATTCTGTCGGCAATCACATCATCTGCACTGCGAGGATGTGGAGGAACAGAGGCTGACAATGTTCCAATCAGCATCAAAGCTCCTACGAACAATCTACTTGTAAGGCTAGGTCTCACAGGCCTGGGTGCTACACTAGACCTTCTGTGGCTCTCAAGCAATGGATTGTTCGAAGCAAGTTGAGGAGTCAATGGTTCTCTCTCTTCACTCCGCTCAGTGCTCTCAATGGTGACTGCTGCTGCAGTCTCTTGGGTCGCCAATGGTGGCGAGCCTGTGTTGGGTACCTCTCTGCTCAATGCGCTGCCAGAGGCAGCAAAAACCGGTTGCGCGCCTAAGCTCCAATCAGACCAATCCTCAGACCAGTCCTGAGAGGAATCATACCACTCCTGACCGTACCAGGAATCGTCGTCCCAATACGTCCAGTCTTCTTCACTGTACAAAGCGCTCTGCCAATCGTCATACCACCAGCTGGTGTCAACAATGTCTTCAGGCCAATTCTCTTCTTCTGTGCACTCATATCCTAACTCTCCACTCTCTGCAATCATTGACTGTCGATTCTGAGGGCAATGCTTGCTCCAATGCGACTGCGAACCACAAATGAAAAATCCTGTTCCTGAGTCCGGGCCCTTTTCCAATCTTTCCTCCTTTTCCTTTTCCTTTTCCTTTTCCTTTTCCTTTTCCTGTGCCTTTGTAGAATCCTTTCTTTCCTTTGCCTTTCCAATTCTTTCCTTTGCCTTTTCCTTTGTATCCTTTGCTCTTTCCTTTGAATCCTTTGCCCTTTCCTTTGTAGCCTTTGAATCCTTTTCCTTTTCCCTTCAATGCACCTATGTCCATGGGAACTGGTCCCTCTGAAGAGTTTGGTGACCTCCAATTGGCTAAATGCCTGCTCTGGTAGTACTGTTTCACAATCTGTACAACATCGGAAAACGTGGTCAATGCATCAACGTTGAGGCGCAAATGTTGCTGCAATGCGCCTGAGGTTTTGTTGACCATCAGAGTGACCAATAGGTCATCATCCAGGAGCTTCCCTGTGGCTTTCTCATGCTTGTTCTTCAATGAAATAAACTCCGTCAAATCCGCTTCGAATGAGGCGTCTCGGAATCTGAAGTCTAGCAATCTGCTCAACAAGCTAACTCCCCTGGCTCTGTCAGGCAATGCAAAGCGTTCATACAATTGCCTCCAGGTCTCAAAACCATTTCCGCTTTCGTTCAATCTCACGACCAATCTGGCGGGGCCGTCTGTGATCTGTGCAAGAAGGTAGTGCAATTGTCTGCTGAAATCAACTAACCTTTGATTCGGACAGTTTGCTGTTTCGAAATCTTCCAAGTGCTGGTCAATGCAGGGGTCATAAGTACCTTCCAGCCTGTCCATCAATGACTGGGCTACAGGTTTGTACAAGGAAACATACGACTTCAATTGCCAGCTCCAATCTTCCCATTTCTCGGACTCACCATGGAAAATCGGTGGAGGAAACAATTTGATTTCTCCTCCTAGACCTTGAAAGTTTCCAAACACTGCCATCACGAATCTAGACAATCTTTCAGGAGCCCTTGGACTTCGTCCAGTGCTCCGCTACCATGAAATTTTACAAAAGCGAAATCGTCTACTCAATCAGGTGATCTCAGAACTGCTCAATTCAATCAAGCACAATCACAAGCACCAACTCTGCTGTGTGATGCAATCACTCGAGCTCAATGTTTTCCGACTTGAGCCAAAGTTGATCCAGCAATCCTCTGGTGACCAATGCATCTCTGTGTGGATACAAAGGTGATCTGACCAATCATCCTAACACTTAAGGCCTCCCTTAAGCCCCCCTTTAAGCTTTTCTTAGCCCCTCCCTTAAGCTTCCCTTTAAGTCCCCCCCTTTAAGCCCCCTTTAAGTCCCCCTTTAAGCCCTTTAAAAACCCCCTTTAAGTCCCTTTAAGCCCCCCTTTAAAGCCCCCTTTAAGGTCCCCCGATTTACGGGGTTTAAAGTCCCGCTTTAAACCCTCTTTTTAAGTCCCCTTACCGCAGCCACTCTTCAATTAGCCACTGACAGGTAAATGCACTGTCCAAAAAAAAGTCCACATGAAAATGCACAACCTTATACTGCAAAGGCAAGCGCTTTATGCACAAAATTTTTAACTGTCTTTGCAAAATTGCGGTTTCGGCTTAGTTTCGCGCGCTACGTTGCTGCTATAAACTCTCTTTGCCTCTTAAAATAAAAAGAAAAAAACAAAAAGAAGAAGCAAGCGGCAGAATTGCTCTTACAAGTCTTGCTTCTTTTTAAAAATGAAACAAAGAACAAAAACAATATTCAAGGGTTCGAATTTGGAATTCCTTCTTTTTTGTAAAAGAATCAGAGTCTTATTTCTCTGGTTCGAAGAATGTCTGTTCCATTTTGCTTCTTTTTATATTGTACGCTGTTCTCCAGCTTCTAGTCAACTGGAGTTTTGTTTTGTTTTGGACATGATTCATATGCGCAAACAAAATGCTCGCATTAAACCTCTTAAACTGCTGCCTCGATCCTCCAGCAGGCATTAAGTCTCTTAGACGTTTAAATTGCTACCCGAACTCCACAAAAGGCCCAGCAAGCATTCAGCCTTAAACTGCTGCCGAAATCCTCCACAGAAGCCTTTAACTGCCCAAACCCTCACATTGTCCAAAAACCCAGCAAGATTGAGCCTCTTAAACTGCTGCCTAAACCTTGAGTCGCCATTTTGCTGCTGGCTTCAAAACCATGGATATAAAGCATGTTTTCCAGTTTCCAACAGCCAACGTTTTAGTCTTCCGCAAGCAGCCTGTTTAAAGCAACAGACAAATTTATTAAAGTGTGCAAATGTGCAAGGTGCACTGTTGTTGTTGACTTTGGAGAAATGTGATTCTGGTGTGGCATGTGTGCTTGTAGAAGCGTCCATCTCTTGGTAGTTCTTGTTGTGCTGAAGAATAATACCGCTTCGGGGGGCCCATTCTCATCAATCCAAGAGATTGCTTCCTTTCAAAAACGGGCATCATTCCAGGGCAGAGCTTGCAAAGCGCATACAACAAGGGTGTTTTTGGCCTGGATTCCAAACCTTGAAGCAGAAAGTTTGGGACGTTTTGACACTTAGCCAGGTGTCTTTTGTCGCTGCCATTGAGCGTGAAAATATCAAAGGTGACAGCAAGAGTTTTGTGTTTCTCAGTCTTAAGGCAAAGAGTCACAACTCTGTTTCAGGTTGACTTTGCTGAAGATGCTAAAAGGACAAGTTTCTGGCAAAAAAGTGGAACATGCTGCCGTTCTTGGTCCACATTGGACCTCTGCACCCGGATTTGTTGACTTTTATGGAAGGAAGCACGATTAGACTTCTGCTTCCAACCAACTTCCTGGACTATCTGTTTGAAAGTTCGCACGTAAACCTGACCTTTTTGGGCCGGTTTTGGGGTTTTGCTTGTTGTTTGGTTGGTGGTGTTTTTCGTCTTTCTTGTCTTGATTCTTCACGGCAATATTGTTTCACACCTAGTTGCAAGACCCACAAGAAAGCCCTGTGCCACTGATGCAGCAAAAAGGCGCCAAAAAAATTGGAGTGTTCGAAGCCGCTCCTCTGGAGGCTTCCAGGCCTGGCCTGCGCAAGTGTGCATGTGCGGGTACCTGTTGAAAAAGCACCTGATCCGACTGTGAACTGAGTCTGGCCATCTGAACTCTAAGCGTCAAGTACCTTCTTTACTCGCGTTTACAGTCTTCTGCACGTAGTCGTTTCGAAGTGTCAAACAAGCTCTTTGACAATAGTGGTGTGTTTTCCATCTGTTCCACTGCAGTGAGTCGCGCTGCAACTGGGTGCATAACCCGTCTTGAAATTGTAAAACTTCAAACGCTGTGCATGACCACCTTCAGTAGTGGTGTGGTCGTAGTCTTGGTCGTGGTCGTAGTCATGGTCGTGGTCGTGGTCGTGCTCGTGCTCGTTTCGTGGTCGTGGTCGTGGTCGTGGTCGTGGTCGTGGTCGTCGTAGTCGTGGCAGTGGCAGTGGCAGTGGTAGGTTAGTTAAAATTCAGAGAATGCTCAGATTTCTTGCTCGACCAGTCCGAGTCCAATGCCAAGACTGCGATGTTCAAATGCGTTGCTATGTGGTGTTGCCAGTGAAAAGAGAAAAAGTTATTCGCGTCCTCCGCTCAGAAGGCATAAGAGCTTGAAAACTAGTTGTGTTTTTAAAGTAACCGCCGGCATGCCGTGCCGACATTCACTTTAAAAACGCACCGAAAGCGCAAAATGCGCTGACATCAAAACTTGGCCGCCGCCGTGCAAAAGCATGCGCCGATGCCCAAAAAGACGCCGAACAAGCGCCGAAATGCCAAAAGCACGACCGACGTGTCAAGAAAGATGCGAAATGCCGTGTCAAAAGCAACGCAGACATGCCAAAATGCTCGGCACATGGGCATCCTCATCGTGTAGTGGTTTTGACATACCTGGGAAGCACTCTCGGGAATGAGACACGTTTCGGTGATTTGCTTCGGGCGGCGCGAAGTCGAAAACCCAAGAACTCTGATTTTGCAAGTTGCTGCCATGGACCTTTGCAATCTGATCAGCTTTGACTGGGTATGCCTTTTGGAGTGCCCCGTTGCGAGCAGATGCGGACATCCGAAATGCTCACAGTGGAAACAAGCGGTGTCGACCATGACCGACAGTGTGGCGAGTGCTTCCGCCGGGCAACATTGACTTGAATGTTAGATGCGAGGAGCTTCTTTAGGTTGAGTTCTGAGTCTGCGTTGGTGAAAGATCCTGAAAGCACCTGCACGAGTCCATTGCTCTGCTGGCATGTTCCTCATAGGCGTAAAACATATGGATGCACGGAGACGAACTTTGTGCCATCATGCGCCGCCTTGATGTTCGGAACGGTGCAAGCGTTTCGTGAACCCGTACAATCTGCTGCGGGGACCGAAGTTCTTACGCTTGTCTTCGGCAGCTTGTCCATTGCCTTGGCAAGGCGAATTCGTGCCCGCAACTACCGCTTTTCTGGGCAGTGTTGAGTTGGCTGGCGTTGGTAAGTCGAGTGGCTCGAATAGCATCATTCCGCTTGAGCCGAGTTCTCCACACAGTCAACATAGCGCAAGTAAACATATATGTGTTCCGGCAAGGCTTCATGGAAAGAATTTCCAATGGCCAACAAACCTTGTACGGTTGTGGCTTGATTTCAATCCACGTACGTAGCCTTGCGCGAGCCGCCCGCATGAGTGCGGTCGCCGAGCCGTCGTGTTCTTTCCGTACCGCTCCAGAGCCTGCAACCTGTGTGGTGGGAGTGCTGGCGCAGTGCCCGAGTTGTTTGTGGTGATCTGGACGCGTCAATATGGCTTTCTGCCCAGGTGCCACTCAGGTAGTCATGTGGCGGTACGACAACCAGACGAACCATGTCTGGAGAAAGTACCTAGACCGATGTGTTTTGTTCGAGGATTCAGCATCATGCCATACCGAGTTGTCATGAGGCCCTGTCGTTCTATTATCGACCAATCGCTGCAGCCGCCGCAGTGTCTGGGCATAAGCTTCGCCTCACCAGCACGCCTTGCCTAATTACCAGTATCAGGCATCGGACAGCCAAGGCTTGTGCAAAGGTTTTCCCATGCACCACCACGCTGCTGCCCTGGCCAGCCCAGGCACAGCGGCTCAAAGGTTTGGTTTCCAACTGCACGGCTTAGGTAATTTTTTTTTTTGGCAACCCCCAACCGTTTGAGCCTGCGGTTTCAATGGGCATGTCGCCAGCGAAATGAAAATGAGTGCTCCCCCAAAAAATGAATTGTGACCTCCGTCATACCTTGAAACATGCGTACGGGTAGATGTGTCTTAGAGTGACGCCAGCACGGCATCCAGCAGTGTGCTAGCACCAAGGTTGGTATTTCTTGCCTAGTTACGAGGAATACGAACCCATCCTGTCATCACGATCAATATTCCGCACTATGTAGCCAGGGGCCTCTCGCAGCACCTTGGGGCAGCGCTAGCTTGCCAGGATTCGCGACCTGGACGGTTTTCGAGCATCGCCGGAGGATTCCAGTGCAAAGCGAGGGGTAATGTGCCAAGGGTTTAATTTGAAAATGCTTGGAGAAAATTGCGACCTTTATTTCAGCTATCGGCATGCCATGGTGGAAGCGGTGAGGAATTTTACATACATCCGAGGCAAGATTTGTCGGTAGTTGAGGATTGTGTCATGTAGCGCAAACATAGGGCCGGTCTTGCTCCAGGATGGCATGCAGTGCCAGCCGCAGACGCCTCGGCTCAAATTCATCATCTTGTGGGCATTAGTTTTGGCGCATGTTTTGCAAAACTTTATACTGTCCAGTCCAATTTACACCTGGTCCATTTTCCGTGCACGTGTTGTGCAATGGCTGATGGTTCCGATTTCCGCCATCGCCTCGGCATTGGCCAGTTGTTTTGTGACTAGCGCAGCTGTTTCCTTCGTTGTTTGGCCACTTCCTTCCAGTCGACAGGGTTCGGTCGCAGATTTTGTTGTGTGGTCACGCAATCTACTTTTGGGCTGGGTTGGCGCGGAAAACTACGACACCTGAGGCATGGCTACCTCATGCAGTGAGCCCGCATTCACTCACTCATTCATTCACGCACTCACTCACTCACCTACCCGCCCACTCACTCACTCACCCACTCCCTCACCCATTCACTCCCTCAGGTGTTGTCGACTGCGGACTGGCAGCCGCACTTGTGGAATGATGGCGGTGAGTTGATGGTCACGAGCGGGGATTGACAAGCGTTTCGACCAGCCAAACAGTCGCACAACAACCTGTGCTTAATCTAAGCACGCCTGCTTTCGGCACGGTGAAATTATGCGAACGCGGGGCAGAAATGCTGGACAAGAAGTGTTCAGGGCTTGTGCAGGGCCACTTGGACTACTTTCGCCATCTTTTTTGGATTGATGCATTGGTTTTGATGCAAGGCCAATTTGGGTAAACATGTCAGGCGCACTGCGACATCTTTAGGGTGCGGCGGGTCGACTCGCGTGCCTTTCAAAAAGCGCACTTACCCTGACCTCGTCCGTCCGGCTCGCAGTCGGCTCGTCGTCCTCACTACCGAGGTCGGTGGTCGCTGGAGCCCCGAAGCTGCACGTTTCGTGCGGCACGCCCGATGTTGTGTTCGGGCTGTTCCAGCAGCGTTCCGGGCCCAGCTGCCCACTGGTCCGCGCTGCTCGCCATCTTCGCAGTCCGCTTCGAACGCAATCGGGCGCGGGCGACGAGCGCAAAAACGGCTTCACCGTCGTGAAACTGCTGCGCAGATCGCAGCGCGCGTCGTTCGCCGCCTGAAAAGAAGCCTGCGCAAAAGAAGAAGGTCGGCCAAGTGATCCATTCTGTGTGATTCTCTGCGCCTGTTGGTGGGCCAGGTAAGAAAAGATTTGTAGATATGTTCAACGCCTTACCTTTGGCATGCGGCTCTTGCGGGGCCTCGGTAGCGGGTCTGCGAAGTGGTTTAACTTACCTTGGCAACCGCCTGATGGATCCGCGCGCACATCCGCCTCGCGAGGGCATGACGCGCATCTGGAAGGCGCTGGCGAAGAGCCGCCCCATGTTGCTGTGGGTCGGTGATTGGGCCCTGCCCCCGAAAGGCAGGGAATCCCCGTCCTTGGTTCCACCCCCAAGAGCATGATGTTTTCGTCGCGCGCCACGTCCCGGGCAAGCGCGATGAGCAGGACACAGCGCATCCCCACGTTAATGACCTACTAGCGGCATGGTTGCCTTTGCAATCCTGCTCCACCCCGTGCGCCAAACAGCCCACCCCGCAGACGCGACGCCGGCGGCACGCGCAAGCCATGCAAGCGAACGAGCTGCGGACGAAGCACACCGGCCCCCGTGCGGCACAGCTCCGGGTACGTGGCCCGCTACGTCCGTCGGCCGTTGGGAGAGCGGTGCGGTGCGGGCCCCAATCGCGTGTAAGTGGGGAGACGAGCGTCGCAGCAAAGCCAAAAGCTTGCCGTACGCCAAAAGTTTCAGTGGACAGTGGGGCTGAGAAGCAAGGGGCGTAGGCGCGCGGGGAAGCGACTGCCAACATGCCCGACCATCGGGTTATCCAGGGATCGTGCTGCCAACCTCGACACCGGCAACGACCAACCGGCAGCGCGTGGGGGGAGGAACGATGGTGGCCAAAGGCGCAAGCCATTCGCGACAGCCAATCGTTGGCGTTACCTCAACACCATACGCCTGCGCCTGTCTCTATATCACCCAATGCTCGTCTGCCTACACGCCAATGGATGACTCATTTGGATGCTTTCGTTGAGTTTACTTTGCACTTCTGAGTTCGGCCGCGTTTGTGCATAACTATGGTAGCTTTTTGCCTGACCTCAATGGGCCGTCATCGGGCTGTCAGGCTTGACTGACTGACTCGTCTGCTTAATATTTGACAATGATAATGTTTTCCTGATTCTTAATAAAGCTTGATTGTATCAGAAAGTGAGAAATCCCGCGGGGGGCGAGCAGGCAGGGGACGGGGACGCTCGCGTGTGGCAGGTGTCGGCGCAGTACCGGCCCCGTCAGACGCCGCACCCCGCGGAGACTCAGGTCTGTGCCTCATTGACTTGGGCGCCGAGCTGCGCAAACGCGTATACACCCTGCAAACCCTTCCGCCGCAGGTCCGAGGAGCGCTGCGCCAAGCGCCGCGCGGGACTTGAAATGGTGCGGGATTCTCGGGATGCCGACACACTCATCGCGGGTGGAGACTTTTCCGCCTGGTGCCACGCATGCTGCTGTGGCGAGAACGCGGGCAGACGCGCGTGCCGTCGCTGGAACTCCAACAGAAGGTTGAGCTCCTAGCCGCAAAACAGTGGGTCGTCCTGCTTGACCAGGCGGTGCGGGCCGCACAGGTCGAGCCGCGCCCGGCGAGGCCCAGGGCGGGCGCACGCCCTTTTGACGCAGGGGACGATACGCAACGAAGGGCTGAGCAGGCAGTTGCACTGGCGCACCTCGTTGAATTGTCTGCGGCGAGGGCGGGCCTCGAAGCCGCCCCCTGGCCCCCGCGACGGCGGAAACACTCGCGGTGTTGCGAGACCCTGTGAGGCGGCCATAGGCGGCCTCAATGCCGCCAAATGCCCCTGCCGGATTGGTTGCCGGATGTTCGCCCGGAGGGCGGGAGCATTGTCGTGAGCCGTGCCAAACTTGTCGCCAACCTCAAAGGAGTCCGGCGGGGAGCCACCGCTGGAACGTCCCGAACATTTGCGAGTCCTGCTCGATGATGAGACGTGCACGGAACTGCTGTATTACGCCGTCCAACAGTTGGCGGAGGGCTGCATGCCGGGGTCCGTTGTCGAAGGGCTTCGGGTGGGCCGCTGGGTTGCGCTGAGCAAGGCTGGCGGGGGCCTCCGGGCACTGGTCATGGGGGACACTTTCCGACGCCTGGTGTTGCGGACTTTGGCGCAACAGACTTCCGCGTTCATGGCGGTGTGCGCGCCATTCCAGTACGCGTTGTCCACCCGCGCAGGAACCGAGGCGCTCGCCCGGGCCCTGGCGGTTTCTGCCGAACTGCGCCCGCAAACGACGGTTGTCAGCGTGGACGGGGTTGGCGCTTTTTGACCACGTCGCCCGCATTCATCCCCTTCGTCTGCCAGTTCTATGGGGCCGACAGCGCGTACGTGTTCTATGATTCTCCTGGCCGCGCGCATGAAGTCGCCCAAGCCGAAGGCGGGGAACAAGGAGACCCGCTGAATCCCGCTGATGCCGGGCCTGTTTGCGGTCGCCGTCCAGCCGGCGCTGGTGGCAGCCCATGACGACCTGCGACCCGGGGAGGACTTGTAGGCCTTTTTGGACGACACGTATGTGTCCTGCGAGCCAGACCGGGCGTGCGCGGCGGGATAGAGCCGCCCGGCTTACGCGAACTGCTGCCGACCGCGCCAGGGGGATGCGCCGGCGTCGGCGTGGGTCGGGACAGGGAGTTGCCAGGTTTCCTGGTCCGCCTGGCTGCCAGAGCGTCGAGTTGAAGGGATCCCTCACTGGCCAACAGTTCGCGCAAGCACTGCCCGACTCCCGCATCGTGCTCACTTGCGAACTCCATGTGGGAAGGGACCGCAACATGTAATTACTTGGGGGCACAGCGCACATCAGGAATAGGAGCCAAACAGATTGGAGGTCCGGCAGGCCTGGGAGCTTGTCGAGGAGGCGAACGTGGTTAGGCAGCTGTTCGCGCAGGGCCTCCCTTTTGTACTGGTCGCTTTTCAGCGGCGTGCCGAGGATGGGCGGGCAGCAGCCTTTTGGGCTTCTTGGGCGGATACGCTGCCCACGCTCCGTGCGCGACACCCGCGCGTGGTGGCCGAGGTGCTCAACCAGGCGATGGCCGGGCAGCGCCCAGCGTGGTCGAGCTCTCGCAGGCGGCGGCGTGCCTCCGGGAAAGTGGGTTCGAGGTTCCGTCCTGGGACCGACTGGTAGAGGGCGGCAAGCAGCCCCCCTGAGGGGTGAATGAGCGGGTGCCAGGACAGTCGCTGCGAGGCTGGCAGCGCTCTGCAGCGGCTTCCCTGGGTGCGGCCGCTCGCGTGCAGTTGGCTCTCCGCCATGGCGACTTGGGGCTGCGCAGTGCTTATGCACCTGCTTCTTTTTGTGTCCGTGGTTGACACTTTTCCAGCCTTGTGCAGGCGAGACCGCAGCGCGGCGAAGCCCTCTGCGCGCGTGTCCCTGCTCGGGCGGAATGGCAGACCCACCCGCGGCGCCGCTGACCGCGACGCTGCCGCACTAGAGGCCGCTGCGCGACGCAATCTTGCGCGCTACCCTGAACTTTGAAGAAACGCCGTAGACGCTGTCGTGTGCATTTGGCCTGGCTTTGGGTCTGCACCGGGACCGCTTCGCTTTGGATGCCGGTAAACAGGCGCGAGAAAAAAAACAAAAGCCTTCCCCTGGGGGGGGGGCACTGCGCCTGTGCGTGTTAACTGCCAAAGTCGGAGGGCGCTGGAACGACGAGTCACAACGGCTGCTCAAGCAGCTCATCCGACTGCGCGCGTGCCGAGCAACGGCCATCCTTCGAGCGGCTGCCGGCCAAGGCTGGGCGCGCCGGTGGTGGAGTGCATTGTCTGTTGCCGTGCAGCGCGCCATGTGCAGCGCCGCGCTCGGACGATGCCCCCCCTCCCAGGGCAGGTTGACACACAGCCTTTGGCGAGGGTGCTCGACCTCACCTTCGGGCTTCCCGCTAGTAGGCGTTTGAGACGGCGGATTCGGCGGAAAAGGGTGCACGCAGAAAAAAAGGCTTTGAACCCCCATCCTAGCACGACCTAGTGCACGGCGAGGCGCCGCCTGTGCTTGGCGACTGTGAACCGCAGCTCGACAACTCGCGTGGGTGGCAGCGCGCTGCTTTGCCAGCGAGCCCTGTTGCGGGAACTGGATGCCTCTTCCGCAGCCCTGCTTGATTCCCACGTACGCTGCCCGTGTGTTCACTGCGTGGCCAACCTTGCCTGAATTCACTCTGGAATCCTCGTTGTTCCGTGTGCTGCTTTTGCGTCGACTCCGTTCGCCGCCCCCGCTCACAGCAGCTAGGTGCCGGTGCCGCCAGCCGCATGATGTTTTGCGACACGCCGGGGAGCCGCACTGGTCTCGCTGGATGGCCGCAGCGCGTACGACAGCATGTCGCGGGAATAGCAAGTTTGTTTTCAGTGCTTGCGCAGGCTTATGTCAAATTTTTACACAGCAAACATTGGTTCGCGGGTTGGAGTGAAATGCAACCCGCACCAGAATTGCGTGCACACGTTTGCGACGAACACGATGATGGAACCATGATGCCACCACTGTTGTCTCTTCGCGCATGTTGGGAAAGAGAACCTTGTCCCACGACGCTGCTGCTTCATGGATGCACGCTGTGTCCCAGTGGAGATCGTAATGTTAAACAAAACGTGACAGAATGGTTGGGTTTTGAGTCTCCAGATGCTCGAGGACGTGCGAGGGAGCAGCGCAAATTTCGGAGCCTTCAAAGTGCAGAGACGGGCCGAACGTGAAACAAGGAGGAACGAGGTCACGAAAACGGCTGACATACCTTGAGCCCACATTCTGGCATGGACAGTCGTCTCGCTGACCAATCATTGGGTGATTAGCTTTGTGTATGCTTTTGCGACCAGTTTGCGAAGGTATGAAATGGTGGCACCCTATGCAAGGTCTTGAATGGTCAGGGCTGCCATTCCAGGATCCCTTCAGACCCTTGGTAAGCGCAACCTATCCCGCAGTCCTGCATGTCAAGGTCTGGAATGGTCAGGGTTCCTGGGGTCTGAAATGGTGCGGGGATGTCCGTGTGACGGCCCCAACGCATGCAGACCCCGATTCGAGGTGACGACGCTGGCATTGACAACTTTCGGATGTGGAGCAGCATCGCTGCTGAACGCCGCAGTTGCCAATGACCGACAGATTTCGTTCAAGGCGCCGGTTATGTATGTGTCGTGGATCGTGGGTCATGTAAATTTTCTTGGCGAGCCTCAGGAATGTATGCGCCGCGAACTTACACACAGATTAGTGCTTGATGCGAGCTTGTTGGGCAGGGGCATGGATGGGGCAAGGTCGATCGAAGGGCGGCGATGACAGCTTACGCGATGTGTTGCTTGGAGCTCAGTGCATTCGTGGAAATCCAGATGTTGTTGAAGATGGGCTTTTACCACGACACAGAAACACATGCTGGACGGTTGGAGTAGAATATTGCGAGGAAACGGGCGTCTCCATCCTGTCGGAAGGCAAGGGCGCATTGCAAGGGCACATTGCAACAAACTGCTTTGGCACTGTGGTTCTTCGCTGTTCGTTGCTGTCATGCGGTCATGCGCCCACCCAATCCCTCAGCATGAGTGGCTACGACACAGCAACGGGTAGGGGACAGCTTTTAATGTAAGAAAGCGCACATGGCGTCCTTGCAGAGCCTTCGACCACTGTGGCGCCCTGTGCGATCCGCACTGCGACCCGCACAAGTCCGCATAGCAGTGATCCCTACATTTGGGACTTTCCGCTGTTTTGCAGACAGGAAAACCGGCACGGTCAAGCTTTGGAATGACCAGAAGGGTTTCGGCTTCATCACGCCAGCAGAGGGCGGGGAGGACGTATTCGTCCACCGAACAGGGATTGCAGAGGGAGTTACCCTGTCGCCAGGGTTGTCTGTGAGCTTTGCACCCGAGTGGGACGACAAAAAACGGAAGGACCGTGCATCAGACGTCCAATTGGAAGCAGGTGGAGAAGGCAGTGAAGCTTCGACAGCACCGCAAAGCAGCGCCGTGAATTCACATCACATTGTGGGTTCGTGGGAGAAGTGGAACATTCACAAGACAGCCATGGCTGGGGACGACTCCGTTGTCCGGCACCAAGTCACCATCAGAAATGATGCTCCCAAGGTTGGGGAGTTGCGGCGTGAAGAATTCCAAATCGTGGGCAATGCTAGCTGGGACATCCGCCTGTACCCTGCTGGCGGCGACAAGCAGGACGATAGTTTGCAAATGTCTTGCGTGCTGGTTGTAGCTGTCTACGTGACTGGCGCAAATGCTTCAGGGCTTGGGTTCAAGACTAGTTTCCCTGCTGGCAGATTTGTGTGGAATGGCGCTCTGCTTGTTGGTGTTTGCACTTTCTTGTTTCCTTTCATTTTTTGCAGGAGGTGGTTGTGCTGAAACCCGGTGGTTCTGGGTCACAGTCGGCCACTGGAAGCAAAAACAAAGGCCATGGACGCAACTGGGCCGTGGAAGGTGGCACAACTTGCATTACAGCAGGGTTTTGACGAACATATGTTTGGGTGAAGCCTGATGCAAAGTGAATCTCACAAGTTGCACGCACCCGGAGCATCACTGAGGCCAGGCAGGTGACAATTTCGACGTCACCCTTAACACTGAGACGATGTTGGTTTCATGTGAGACTGTGGAGTGAGCCTCTACAGTGCGTTAGTTACGTTGGACTAGCGCCGAAACCGAAGCTGTCAAAATCGCTGCGCCGCTGTGAGCATAGTCGAGCATTATGAAGAGTTTTCTTCCCAGCCAGGTGCCGCATCTGTATCTGTAATTCGTATCTGTCACAGCTGCCAGGGGCTGAGAAGCTTCTACTGCCACAGGGTGGCTGGTGTGCCTGCGATCAGAAGCAGCGTCCCACTGGAGATCGTGCACTGTGCTTCAGCTGTTGTCTGCTGAAGCTTTTGTGATGATATTGGCCGTCGCTGTGAAAGCAGGAGAACTTTTGCGAAGATCGCGCCGATGACCCTGCTCATCCAAGTCAGCATCTCGTAAAAAGCCAAGTCGCCGCAACGCATGCAGGGCTGCCACGTTGCGCCAAGGCGGGCGGCGAGTTTTCCAAAGCAGCCCGGCACTGCAGCTCGGCGAAGCCGATTCGTGCATCGCACGTGGAACAGATGTCGATCTTCGCTTCCCGGAGCCAGGCTTGCGAGGATTGCCTTCTTTGTGTTGGCATATGGCTACCCGCTCAACGCCCGGACCCACAGACGGCCCCAGAATGGTCTTTGAATGGTCTCCGTGGTGTCTGCCTGCGTCTCTCTAATTCCAGTTCTTCTTTTGGGGGGGGCATCCTGCGGAGGAATTCGGAGGAAACCTGGATAATCCTTGATATGCGGAGTCGGGGCCCAGGCTCAAGCCCAGGGTGAAGCCACAGTTTTGCCCAACATGTAGGAGATTTCAGGCGCGTTTGACAGGACATGGTGCAGTTTTCAAGGGTTTTTTCTCGCACCTGCATGCGAGAGAGCAGGAGGCAAGTTTCTTGTGCTGCGAGACAATGTCCTCGTGCACAGTAGCCCTTCCGCTTTCGTGGTTGATTGCATGCTTCTCGTGTGGCAGCAACCACACGAGTTTTCATGACTCACCACCCTCCCCACTGTCCCAGAGCATTCCACATCTCGAAAAATCCCATGAAAGTCGGATGACAGCGATGCGGCTGTTTGCCAGCGGGCTGCTGCTTGCGGCAGCTGCGTCTTCGCTTCCAGATAGGACTGGGTCTTTGTGGGTGTGGAATGGCACGAGCAAACATGCTTTCCGAGCCCCTTGAAGGATTCCCCTCAGCTGGTCTCTGGATTCACTATTTGACCATGCGCGGAGCCGGGTCGGGCATCGAGGCTGCAGTCACACCAGGCTTTTAGAATTCGGCCTTGAGCACCAGGATGCCCCCCTAGGATGTATGCGAACACAAGGTGAAGGTTCAGGAGTAGCAATGAAGCAATACAATATCGTGGGATCGGTGGCAACCGCCAGCACTTTGTTAAAGCAGAGCCGACCTCCAGCTGAATTCCCTGAATCGGAGCGCCCCGTTAACCCTTGTACCCTGTTCTCAGGTCCCAGGAGATCTGCTCCGAGGGCCCCAACTTCTTCCTGGTGCGGACCTCCCAGGGCCCCGCCACAGGCTGGAACTGTCTGCTGTGAGGCCTCCTAGGGCTTTCTGATGCTGCGGCTTCCTCGAAGTGAGGTTGCGTGCGCTGGGTGAAAAGGATTTTATGTTCGATTGGGATGCTGGCCAGTCTGGTCGCGAGAAGCCAAACATCCAGAATTTCAGGCATGGGTGCATCAGAGTACTCCGCTCTGGACGCTGTCCTCTTCAATCACCCGACGCTCACCTCAAATGGGAGGCTGATAAGGCCCAAACAATATATCTGGCTTGGATTTGGCTTGGTATACGGACATTTGGCTCTTTTTCGTCTTCGTGATGATTTTGTGAGTGGCCAAGGTTAGCTGAGGTCAAGTTGTTTCCTCATCTCAACAGACGTGATGCACTGAGGCTGGCGCGTGTCGTCCTACTCTTGGTCGGCATCGCTCCAGATACTGGGATCCAGTCTCGCTTCGAGCCTGGGTGGCGCATCATTGCTTCCTCATATTTTCTTAAATGAAAGTGTGTCACACTTCGGCAAGCATGGGCAAGAAGACACTTAGGTGTCAGGAAGCCTTTGCTGAAAACGGGAAGTTGCGCAACAGTTTTGTGCTGCGGAGGACAGCTACCTTGCTGATGGCTACTGCGTCGTTCCGTTTCCACTGCGCATGGACCTCATCATGACCTTGGTCTACCGAGCGGCTGTGCCCATGGACGAGTGCCTTTGATGCAATCAGCGGCATCAGCCCATGAAGTGCAATCTTTTTGGGCCAAAACGGCTTCGGTGTGATGCCTCGATCGTTTCACGGTGATTGTAGGTAGTTCCGCCATGGTGCTGATGTGCTGCGTTTGGACCTTTCTTCTGTCACGTTCAGGTTCGGCTTCTCGGATGACCAATTCCAGGACATTCAAAACCGTGAGACATGCACTGAAGCCCTCTCAGCCGCCCTTGCTTCGCTGAATATTCAAACTTGCAGAGGATGCCCTGGGCCGTGTGGGCGTGGAGCCGAACGGCCTGGCGTTCACGGACTCTTGCTTGTTGGGGGCGAGGGAGTTTGTCACACTTGTGTTTGAGCAGTTCTTTTTTTTTCGCATGGCCTCAGCATGTTCAGGCTTTTTCGGGATGCATGCTGAAGTGTGTGTGGTTAGGTGTGAGCAGCATGAGGGATCGGCTGCAGAGACCTCCCCCTTGACTTACGACAAATGCGTTGTCATGTGCAGGCAAGAAAGCGAGAAGAGGGTTCTAGCGTGCCTTTTCCCGACCTTCCGACCTCGCTGAGGTCAACTCGGGAGTTCTGGCTTTGCAGGTGCTCTTTGGCGGGGCGCCTTTCCTGCAAGCCGCAGTCTCGCGGATGTTAAGTATCAAGTTAAGACCTGTTTAGGGGCGGGTTGTTAAAGGTTTCGAAGAAAGAAGAGAAAACTCTAGGAGATTTCTATTAATTCATCTGTCGAAGTGGGCCGACTTCCCTTATTAGGATGGGAGCACGTGTCTCTTTATTTCTTCTCTGGGAGGTCCTTTTTATACTTGGATCAATTGGTATGTTGGGAGGTCACTCCTTGGACCCCAAGCGTATATATATATATATATATATATCTACATATACATATATATCTATATACTAATTTATATGAACGTATCATACATATTTGTTTATCTATGTAACTACTAACTCGCGAATTCCAGGTGAGCCTCAGCATGGACATGCTTCTGCTGACGCTCGGCCTACTGACAAGAGAGACGGCCATCCTAAAATGAAGAGGCTATGTCCCGACATCATCTGATTTGCCGGGTTGAGGTCAGGAGCACAGGCTTTGTCGCCTAGAGAGACGAGGGATGTAGAGTCATGTAGAGGGTGCTGGAGCCCAAGGATTGTTCCTTGCTTGATGGGGGGTATCTCGGGAGCCCTGGCGATTCTGCAGGAATCCTTTTGACTCGTGGCTGCCTGGACCGCTGAGCCTCGCAAGGGCCGCGGAGCCCTGGCTTTGTGAACTTCGGGTTAACAAGGGCTTCAAGACAGCTGAAAAGCGGCTTAAGTGTGGCTTCGAAATGGCCTTTGCGCACCTCGTTGTTATGGATCCAATTTTCGTTCAGGGTTTGGCTAGCTGTGCAGGAGTAGTCTGGGACGGGTTTCCCAGATTGGCCCAGGGTTGGACTTCCTGAATGTTATGAGGCTTTACAAGGGCTCCGAGGAGCAGACAGGGCATCAGGTTGTGGGAAGAGATAATGTGCACGGCCCCAAGGAGTCCCCATCCAAAACTTTGAGAGTTTTTCGTCTAGAGGTGAAGACACGAAGCTCTGCTTCATCAAGGGGGTCTTCTCAATTAGGGGCACTTCCTCCCCAGCTTCGCCAAGGTCTTTCTGGAGCGGCCCATGGAGCCGGAGGGCCCGCTGCCCACCGAGGTTTTGGAAGAGGAGGAGACACTTCTTTCGGGAGGAGGCGGTTGAGCTTGCAAGTTGGAGATTTTAAGGGTCCATTTTTCGGCATCTTCACCCTTGGCCTGGTTTCTTTAAACAGTGCTGGTAACCGCCACCTTTATGGGCCTGGGAGGACTTCGAGAAGTCTTGGACGCCCAGGCCAGCCCCAGAAAGAGCTGTGGCAGCTGGTGGATAGGACAGCCGAGACAGCCCAAGCCGAAGCAAGCACAAGTTGTTGCAATCAAAAGGGGTGATGATAACGGTAGCTATAAGACCAGCTACGGAACGTAGTGAGCAAGCAGCTCTTAAGCCCTTAGAAGCCTTAGCTGTGACAGGTCCCACACTGACAGAGGAGATGGCATCACGACAGCCGCTTTGAGCCGTCCATGTCGTACGGGCCTATTTTCCTGTGTCCCCTTTAAGGCGACAAGCCAACACACCTCTCACGGGTTCTCACGGGTTCTCACGGGAGTCCGGACCCCTATAAGGCCTGCGGGGGGAAAGCTTTTGATGTCCAAGGTGTGCGCCTCGCATGTCGCGCCCCGTGCACTGCCACGGGGCTGCAGCATCGGAAGGCAGCTCCTCCGAGAGTCGACCGCGATGTTTGTGCGCCACAGAGTCTTGGGAGCTCTTTGTGGCTTGTGGTTACGACAGTTACGACATTCGAGGGTTGAAATGGTTGTGCTGTCATTCTTAAGTCAACCCTTCTGCAAATCCTGTCGAGTGCACATCCCCAGAGAACGCTGCAAACAGTCCTACTGAGTATCCTTGGAGTGCCCACCGGAGAAGCCATCCAGAGAGAATCCCGCAAGAGTCCTGCTGTGTACTTGATCACACAACTCGGACATGTGGAACCGCACATGTTCTTCTCGGTCTTATCACGAGTGAAGACTGTACCGCCTGAGGCGAAGTGTCCGTTCGTACTTGTCCTAAAACCGCAGGATGGCCCGCACATCGGGTACTTCTAGGGTGGGACGATGGGCAAATAATGGAGGGTGCACGGGGTTCATCAGTTTTCGTCAATAACTTTAGGTTCTCAACCGATCACATGGCTTTGCAACCAAGAGTGTGGGCTCGCTCCGAACCCATGAATTGTCCTAAGCCCATGAAGTTATGTTACCCTGAAAACTCCTCCGGCAGAACATATCTTCAAACTACTTATTCTACTTGACTTTGCCTTGCATGCTGCCTCAGAAGCATCTCAGGATCCGTCGCTGAAATGGAGACCGTCCTGACACGGCTTTACAAGGGCTATGTGAGATCTCGTCGCTCGACGTTGTCGGACAGCTGCGAGGTCGTACTGCTGCCCTCCTGGTCCATGGCCGAGCCGCACTTTGCAGATGGGTTTCGATATTACGGCCGCCGGGGCCTGGAGGACGAGCTGGATGACCGACCGCACTACCACAGTCAGCTGTACTCGGCCCGTGCTCACAAGGAGCGTGCGGACTGGTCTTTGATCCGCTCCCTCAAGCTCCTTTTGCCTATGGACTACGGGCCTCCGTCATCGCGGAACGTGCTGCCACGCAGCATCGTTGACTTGGCGCGGCGGATGCTGTCGCTTCACCTCGGGCCTTTCCCTGTGGGGCCCATGCACTTCGGAGTTCCCAAAGCTTCCATGGCTTCCGTGGCTCGGGGGAGGCGCCTGCGAAGTCCCGTGGATGCTTTGGATGCGCTGCAGAACTCCATGATCGAAAGTTTCGA